GCCTTTGAGGTTCTTCCTATGATGGCAATATCCCTTCAGTAAAAACCACCAGAGAACTTTGAAGATATTTTTTCAAAACTTGGAAATTACATAACACACCTGGGGCACATAGCCAGGTCACTGGGAGAGACAAAGAAAGAGGGAATGGGTTTGGGGTTGTGCTTTTACTGGAGTAAAGGTTGAGGTCCCAGGCTGTTGAGGATTCACTCTTTATGGTGAATTTATAACATAAGAGCAAGAATTTCAAGGAAGGGAAGAGAAAATAGCAATTGACCCAAATGGTCAGTTAACACATTCCACCAAGATCCCTAAAGCAAGAGGGGTGGAGGGGTGGCCCTTTAGTGTTGTGGCTGTCAATGTGTGTATTCCAGGCAGCCCTCTTTGAAGTGGAAGCCTCCTCTGTCAAAGCTTGTCAGGCACCTGCATTACAGAAAGTAAAGCCAAATGCCAGGCCTTACTCCACACCTCCCACCTCTCTCTTTAAGCTGCCTCAGTCCAAGGTGCTTTTTTCTTTTTCTTTTCCTTTTTTTAAAATATATTTTATTGAATTTTTACAGAGAGAAAGAGAGAGGGATAGAGAGTTAGAAACATTGATCAGCTGTCTCCTGCATACCCCCTACTGGGGATGTGCCTGCAACCAAGGTATTATACACGCCCATGACCGGAATCAAACCTGGGACCCTTTAGTCCTCAGGCCGACGTTCTATCCACTGAGCCAAACCGGTTTTGGAAAATTTGATTTTCTTTGATATCTTTTTTCAATTTTGTTCAGGTTTTCTCCAGAAGAACATCTTTTTGCAGCAAGGAGGAACCAAGGGGTGATGAAACATACACAAGGAGATGAATAGGATTTGAATAACCACTGGAGATTAGACCTCAGAGGCAGGGTTCCTCAAAAGGAGTGGCGTAGACATCCAGACCACTCTTCTCATTTCTCTGTCACCTCCCCATTTCTACCCCAAGCCAGGAGCAGGGTCTTACCATGCCTAATCCCCAGGTAAGGACACACCCAAGTGACCTGCCCAGGTGCACCTCAGAGAGCAGGACTCTCCAGAAGGTGCCTTGGAGAGCAGGACTCTCCAGAAGGTGCATTGATACCAATGAGGCAGCAGCTGCAACTTGTCAAAGCTTCCGGACAACCAAACGGAGCCATCAATCCCTGACCCATATGAGGGGCTGCCCCAGCCACAAACTCAGCTGCTTTTCAACTGTTGGTGTGCCTGATAGTGGCAATAGCTCCTGAATAATGACAAGGACAGGATCACAAGGGAAGAAGCTTTTGGGGCAGTATGTGGTCCCTGTGCGAGTGGGCGAATCCTGCTGGAGGCACTTGTGCTCTGCAGGGTCCGAGCCTCCCACCAGTATCCCAGCTTTCTCCTGTTATCATCCAGTGTTGACAACTGGGAATGCTGGGTCAAGAAAACAGGGGTTGTACAAAATTAACACCAAGAAATCCATGGCATTTCTATACACCAACAGTGAAATTACAGAAACAGAGACTAAAAAAGCAATTCCATTTACCATCGCACCAAAAAAATTAAGATACCTAGGAATAAATTTAACTAAGGAAGTAAAGGATCTATATGCGGAAAACTACAAGACACAAAAAAAAGAGATAGAAGAAGATGTAAAGAGATGGAAGAACATACCATGTTCATGGATTGGTAGAATCAACATCATCAAAATGTCCATACTTCCTAAAGCAATCTATAGGTTCAATGCACTCCCCATTAAAATACCAATGGCATATTTCACTGACCTAGAAAGAACTCTCCAAAAGTTCATTTGGAACAATAAAAGACCCTGAATAGCCGCAGCAATCCTGAGAAAGAAGAGTAAAGTAGGAGGGATCTCAATACCAGACTTCGAACTGTATTACAAAGCCATTGTTCTCAAAACAGCCTGGTACTGGCACAATAACAGACATATAGATCAATGGAATAGAATCGAGAACCCAGATATCAACCCAAATCACTATGCTCAATTAATATTTGACAAAGGAGGCACGAATACACAATGGAGTCAAGACAGTCTCTTCAATAAATGGTGTTGGGAAAATTGGACAGATACATGCAAAAGAATTAAACTAGATCACCAACTTACACCATACACAAAAATAAACTCAAAATGGATACAGGACTTAAACATCAGACGGGAAACCATAAAAATACTAGAAACATCCACAGGCAGCAAAATCTCAGACATATGCCAAAAGAACTTCTTCACTGATACTGCCCATAGGACAATGGAAGCTAAAGAGAAAATAAACAAATGGGACTACATCAAAATAAAAAGCTTTTTTACAGCAAAAGAAATCATCAACAAAACAATAAGAAAGCCCACTGTGTGGGAGAACATATTTGCAAATGTTACCACTGATAAAGGTTTAATCTCCAACATCTACAGACAGCTTATACAACTAAATAAAAGAAAGATGAATGATCCAATTAAAAAATGGGCAATGGACCTAAATAGAATATTTTCAAAAGAAGACAGAAGGAAGGCCAAAAGGCACATGAAAACATGCTCAAAGTCACTAATTATCCAGGAGATGCAAATCAAAACAACAATGCGGTACCATCTCACACCGGTCCGAACGGCCAACATCAACAAATCAACAAACGACAAGTGTTGGCGAGGTTGCGGAGAAAAAGGAACCCTCGTGCACTGCTGGTGGGAATGCAGACTGGTGCAACCACTGTGGAGAACAGTGTGGAGTTTCCTCAAAAAACTGAAAATGGAATTCCCATTTGACCCAGTAATCCCACTCCTAGGAATATATCCCAAGAAGCTCAAAACATCAATCAGAAAAGATATATGCACCCTTATGTTCATAGCAGCACAATCTACAATAACCAGAATTTGGAAACAGCCTAGGTGCCCATCAGCAGATGATTGGATCCAAAAACTATGGTACATCTACACAATGGAATACTATGCTGCCATAAAAAAAAAAAGAAATTCTCATCATTTGCAGCAACCTGGGTGGAATTGGAGAACATCATGCTGAGTGAAATAAGCCAGTCAATGAAAGAGAAACACCACATGACCTCACTTATTTATGGATGATAAAGAACATTATAAACTGATGAACCAAAAGATAGATATAGAGACAGTAAAGCAACAAGCAGACTGTCAAATTACAGCAGAGAGGGGAGGGAGATCTGGGGGAGATAAGAGATCAACCGAAGGACTTGTATACATGCATATAAGTACAACCAATGGATATAAAACTGTGGGGTCGGAGGGTATGTATGGGAGGGAGGGGGGCAAAAAAAATCAATAAAATATATTTTTAAAATAATAAATAAATAGATAGATAGATAAATAAGGTTAAAATTCAAAAAGAAAAGTATGAGTTGCAACACAAAGTTTAGACTGTATGAAGAAAAGGCATAGCTAGGGCGTGGCATTGTTTATTTGTTTTTTCCTGTAAAGAAAAATAGCAATTATGTGAGGCTTGCATGCTATATGGTCTCTGGCTCAACTACTCAGTTTTGCTCTTGTAGGGAGACAGCAGCTATAGACATACATAGAGGAGTGAAGCATGGCTGTGTCCCAATAAAATGGTATTTACAAAAAAAAAAAAGAGTTGGTCAGCGAGCTTTTATTTCTTAATGTGTTTTTATTAATTTCAGAGAGGAAGGGAGAGGGATAGAGAGTTTGAAACATCAGCAATGAGATAGAATCATTGATTGGCTGCCTCCTGCATGCCCCCTATTGGGGATCCTGCCCACAACCTGGGTGGGTGCTCTTGACTGAGTCCAACCTGGGGACTCTTCAGTCCACAGGCCAATGCTCTATCCACTGAGCCAAACCAGCTAGGGTGGGAGACCAGCTTTTTGAGAGACAGCTTAAAAGTGATGCTGTGCATTATCGGATCCATTTTAAACTCATCCTTCACTTGTAATTGAATGAGAAATTATTATCATATTCGATGTAACAGTCATTAAAGATACAATCAGGGCACCCTAATATGCACGCTTGTTCCAGCTGTAAGCTCCTCCTCTGTCATTATTATGTTTCCAGGTTCCCTGAGCTTTGGTGTGGCCTGTATTGTTATTTTAAGCAATATCAGAAGATGGGGATAGACCAAAGGTAGATCGAGGAAAGGTGACAGGAGAGAAGAGTCACAGAGGGTGGGGAGAGACAGAACAAAACTCCTCAGCACAGAAAGTTCAGCTGGAGAGCAGTCAGGGGGAGGGAGGAAAGTCTTGTTAGCACTGGCGGTGGCTGGTCTGTCTCTGCACCCTCCCAGAACGAAGCTCACAATCCCCCTCTGTCTGGGGAGAGTCCATGGCCACAGGTCTTCTCAGTCCAGGGGGCTTTTCCCTGACCCCCTGATCTGAGCAGAGCTCACTGGACAGCTCTCCCACGTCCCACCTACAGCCTGGAGCTAGGACTCCATACATCCCTCCAGCCAGAATCTGAGAGCAGAGGGGAAATATGTTCCTTCATCCTACTCACCGGAGAGATTATCACTGGATGAGGACCCACTTGTCTTGGTGGAACTGAAGTGGGTTAGACAGACATGAAGGTCCCAGTCCTTGGATGCAGTTGCCTTGTAAATGAAGGGGCCCTGAGACTGAGAGGGTGATAGATACCTGAGTCATCAGAAGTTCTTCCTCTTTATGTCACGCATTGGCTCAGGCTACAATCACAAGCACCTCTGCATCTAATTGTCTGGAGTCCTTCCAAACCATTTCTCAGCAGGAAGGCCAAGAGCAAGAGTGCCTACGCAGAAATGGAAGGGAAAGTCCCTCAGAAATTCTCTCTCTGGATGGCATCGCCCTCTTATCAGGCTTCAAATCTCTCCATTTCAAAATGCACACCACACCTTTGTTTAAAACCTATCAAAGCAGAAGGAAAAAGAAGGAAACAAGTCAGGTCTTATAACTTTAGCCCACAATATGCAGGCTGAAAATCAAGAAAAGCAGCTTATTTGTTTAATTGAGTGCACCACGAAGCATGGTGTTAGCCTTCGGTGCTGCTTTATTTTGAATTGCAGCATGATGAAATGGGACACACAGAGCCCTCGGAGCACCCTGCACGCACCCCACGCCTGTATCCCAGGGCCAGGCGGATCCCAGGCTCCTCTTGAGGTAGCTGTGGCTGCAGGAATCATGGACTCTGGTCCCTCTGGAAGGTCTCTCTTCAACTAGACAGACAATCAGAGGGACTTTGTGAGACTGGGCTTGAGGGAGACATAGATGCAGAGCAGGTGATCAAGAATCTGGGACAAGAGGTGGAGAGATGGAGGACAGAGCAGAGTGCCCTGCCTGGAGGACCCAGACATTAAACTGTCCTCTGCTCACCCCACACTCTCTCCTGCAGCCTGGAGCACAGCAGGGCCCCTACCTGAGGCATCCCTTCATGGCAGGGCAAAGGAAAAGTCAGACTTTACTCCTGGCACCTTTTCCTCAAAAGTCATCTTAGTCATCTCCTCCAGGAAACCAGAGGATTTGAAGCAGGGCCAATATCTGCAGTTATATCCACATGGAGACTCTGGACAAAGAGCAGCAGGTCTCTTCCAAACGCCAGTTCTCCCTGGCATTATAGATTTGGTTCCCACATGTGTTCCCAGGGTGAGCCTGCCTCCTGCACTCCTCCCACTAGGGACAGATCCCTTAAACTGGACATGTGCCCTTAACCGGACTCAAACCCAGGACCCTTCAATCTGTAGGCTGATGCTCTCTATCCATTGAGCCAAACCAGCTAGGGCTATTGGACATTTTTGTTTCACTAATATTTAGAAGTTCTTAAACATCATCTTTGTATAATTATTTCCTTAGGGTAATGTCCTAAAAATAGAACATTATTTCACTAAAATGTGGACTCTTTAATGAACAAAATAAACTAACAAACAAAATGGAAACAGACTTGTAGATAGAGAAAGCTGTCAGAGGGGAGAGGTGTTCTGAGGCTGTGTGAAAAAGGAAAGGGCTTTAAATACATTTTAAAAAAAGAAAAAGAAAAAGAAAAAAACCGTCATAGGCACTGACAACAGAATGGTAGTTACTAGACAGGAAGGGGGTGGGCACAGCAGAAGAGGGTAATGTGGGGATAAGTGGGGATGGAAGGATAGTTGACTTTGGGTGGGTGGTGAACACACAACAATGTACAGATGATGTATTATAGAATTGTGCACCTGAAACCAATTTTATTAACCAATGTCACCCAATAAATTCAAATTTTTATAAAAGCCCTAAAAAGGGAATTGCAAGGACTAGAAGATTATGAGCATTCTTAAGGCTTTACTATGTTGTCTTTAAGGTGCATCTGTTACATGTTGCCTCCCGACAAATTCCTCTGTGTAGCCAGTGCTGGGTCTGCAGTTCTGAGCACAGAAGCAGCCAGGGCACCCAATCAACACACCTTCACAGTCCCGGCCTTTCTTTCTTTCTTTTTTTCTTTTCATTTTCATTTTATTCATTTATTTATTAAGGTATTACATGTGGAATCACAGAATAACGAAAATGGCAGCGTAGGCAAACACACCTAAATGGCTGCTGTGCACAACAATTTCAAAAATACAAACTATAAAACAAAACACTATCACCCTAAACCCAAGGGAAAGCTGGCTGAAAGGAAGCCCTACAATTAGACTGAAAGAGAAAGAGAAGAATTCAGGGCACAAGCACTGAAAAACTGAGGGGGGGAGGGGGCACAGATGCGATACGGGCTGGCGGAGGATCCTGGCTGGCAGAGGGAATTGCTTTCTTCAACCCGAAGAGAAACAAGCTCCAGATCTCGCTGAAATCCAGTTTCTGGGGAGAAGCTGATTGATGATTGATGATTCTCTCTCATTGATGTTTCTACCTCTCTATCCCTCTCTCTTCTTCTCTGTAAAAAAAATCAATAAAATATATATTTTTTAAAAGAATATACAGAAACTCAACTATAGATCAATGTGCCCCAAGAATCAAACCAAAGATCTGAAATATAATGAAGCAAAAATCATCCAACTACAGAGGCAAAAAGAAAGAAGAATCCAAAAGTGTAAGGATAGTGTAAGGAGCCTCCAAGACAGCTTAAAGCATACCAACATCAGGATTTTTGGGGTGCCAGAAGAAGAGAGTGAGCAAGATATTGAAGGCCTATTAGAAGAAATAATGACAGAAAACTTTCCCTACCTGGTAAAAGAAATAGACCTACAAGTTCAGGAAGCCCACAGAACCCCAAACAAAAGGAATCCAAAAAGGACCTCACCAAGACACATCATAATTAAAATGCCAAGGGCAAAAGACAAAGAGAAAATCTTCAAGCAGCAAGAGAAAAACAGCTTGTTACCTACAAGGGAATACCCATATGACTGTCAACTGATTTCTCAACAGAAACTATGCAGGTCAGATGGGAGTGGCAAGAAATATTCAAAAAGATGAACAACAAGAACCTACAACCAAGATTACTCTACCCAACAAAGCTATCATTCAGTATTGAAGGTCAGATAAAGAGCTTCACAGACAAGAAAAAATTAAAGGAATTCATCAACACCAAACCAGGATTACATGAAATGTTAAAGAATATTCTTTAAGAAGAGGAAGGAAAAAAAGGTAAAGGCAAAAATTATGAACAACAAAAATACATCAAATACATACCTACCAACAAGTGAATCTAAAAATCAAGTGAATAAAAAATCTGAAGAACAAAATGGACTGGTAAATATAATAAAATCAGGGACATAGAAAGGGATTGGACTAACAATTCTTAGGGGGAAAGAGGTCTCAGGGGTGCGGGAAGAGATTGGACAAAAAATCTTACACTTATGGATGAAGACAGGGGCAGGGGTAAGGGCATTGGATGAGGTAGGGAATCAGGTGGAGGAGAGCTAGGGGGGAGGGGGGAGGAACACCTATAGTAATCTGAACAATAAATATTTATTATTTTTTAAAAGGTATTACATGTGTGCATATCTTCCCTTTTTCCCTCCACCCCACTCCCATACATGCCCTCACCCCCCAGTGTCTTGAGCCCATTGGTTATGCACATATGCATGCATACAAGTCCTTCAGTTCATCTCTTATTTCCCCCATATCTCCCTAACCTCCCTGCTGTAATTTGACAGTCTGTTTGATGCTTTACTACCTCTGTATCTATCTTTTTGTTCATCAGTTTATAATGTTCTTTATTATCCATAAATGAGTGAGATCATGTGGTGTTTTTCTTTCATTGACTGGTTTATTTCACTTAGCATAATGCTCTCCAGTTCCATCCATGTTGCTGCAAATGGTATGAATTCCTTCTTTTTTATGGCAGCATAGTAGTATTCCATTGTGTAGATGTACCATAGTTTTCTGATCCAGTCATTTACTGACGGGCACCTAGGCTGTTTCCAAATCTTAGCTATTGTAAATTGTGCTTCTATGAACATAGGGGTGAATATATCCTTTCTGAATGGTGTTTCTAGTTTCTTGGGATATATTCCTAGAAGTGGGATTACTGAGTCAAATGGGAATTCCATTTTCAGTTTTTTAAGGAAACTCCATACTGTTCTCCACATTGGCTGCATCAGTCTGCATTCCCACCAGCAGTGCACGAGGGTTCCTTTTTCTCCACATCCTCGCCAGCACTGGTGTAAGATGGTACCCGCATTGTTGTTTTGATTTGCATCTCTCAGATAATGAGTGACTTTGAGCACATTTTCATATGTCTCTTGCCTTCCTTCTGTCTTCTTTCAAAAAGATTCTATTTAGGTCCATTGCCCTTTCTTTTTTTTCTTTTTTTTTAAATATATTTTATTGATTTTTTTTTTTTTTTTTTTTTTTTTACAGAGAGGAAGGGAGAGAGATAGAGAGCTAGAAACGTCGATGAGAGAGAAACATCGACCAGCTGCCTCTTGCACACCTCCTATCGGGGATGTGCCCGCAACCAATGTACATGCCCTTGACCAGAATCGAACCTGGGACCTTTCAGTCCACAGACCGACGCTCTACCACTGAGCCAAACCAGCTTCGGCATTGCCCATTTTTTTAACCATAAAAATACTAGAAAAATCGATAGGCAGAGAAACCTCAGACATATGCAAAAGCAATTTTTTCACCAACACCATTCCTAGGGCAATGGAAACTAAAGAGAAAATAAACAAATGGGACTACATCAAAATAAAAAGCTTTTGCACAGCAAAAGAAACCATTGACAAAACAAAAACAAACAAAACAAACAAACAAACAAAAAAGCCCACTGTATGGGAGAGCATATTTGCGAATGTTATCACTGGTAAAGGTTTAATCTCCAACATTTACAGGGAACTCATGTAACTTAATAAAAGGAAGATAAATGATCCAATTAAAAAAAATGGGCAATAGCCCTGGCCTTTCTTAGCTGCGCAGCTGAGGCCTGACCTGGAAGCCAAATATCCTCTTGGCACCCCAGGGGACATTTCACCTGAGACCCAAATAGGGGCACTCCCTCTGCCATGTCTGAGAATCTCTCCTGGTTCCCAGCCTATTTTAGTTTTAAACTCCTGGAAAATTGCATCTCCCCTGGATCCATTTTTCCTTGGAATCCAGTTCTTCCTCATGATGATCTCTGATTCATCTTCTGTTTCAGAAACTTCAGCTGTAATCTCATCTTCTGCTTCTATGACAATTTCAAATTCTGGGGAAAAGAAGCTGTGGTCTGAAACTATTGTCCAAATTATCCGGCTGTACAAGCCTTCTTATGTCCAGAGCTTATTTGGGGCCTACACAGCCATAAACCTTGCAGAGGCGAGACGCAGACAGGAGCTGGGAGGACACAGACTCTGGGAAAGGTCGCTCCAAAGGTGGCTCATTTGAGTAAAAGTCCTTTTTCCTGGATGGTTTCTGGATACCAGTGAGCCACTCAACACTGGTGTTTGAGAGCCAGAGATTGAGAAGGCTGAGATTGAGGGTGTAGGCAGGGGAACTCCAGCCACACCCAGTCAAGCCTGTCATCTTCCTGGAACTACACCCACACCACCCTCACAAATTCCAGCTCCACAGCTCCAGAGCACACACTCAGCTTTATTGATATTCTGAGTCAGATAATCATAGATTCCTTTTTGCTTGTTTTTATTTAGCAATATGAACCACACAGTATATTTCCTTCAACGTTGGCTTTTTTCGTGCCACACAATGTCTATGTGTGAAGCAACAGATCGTGTTTATCACTGGGGAGCATCTGTTCCACTTAGTGAACTTACCAGTATCGACTTGTCTGTCTACCACTGATGGATAGGTGAGCCGCTTGCAATTTGGGACTGAACATTCCTGTACATGCCTTTTGATGAATCTATGTATCTGTCTCCTCAGAGGGAGTTACCAGTTCACAGGGTGGCCATATGATTACTTTCACAGATAAAACACGATTTTGAAATGGTTGGAGCAATTCCCACCCCAGAGAGTCCCAGCTGCTGCGCACCTCGCTGGCACGTGCTGCTGCCGCCTTTAGCGTGCAGCGTCCTCATGGGTGAGTGGCTGTGCCGGCTCTCATTTCTCTGATGAGGACTGAAGTGCGAGTTTTCATCTGCACATGGACTATGGTAGCCTCTCATTTGAGGTGTCGGTTCTTTTTCTATTTTTAAACATTGATTGTTGGTCTTTTTCTTTTCTTTTTTCCTAAATTAAAA